AAAAGACGGGAACGAGAACTAAAAGAAAGGTGTGTTACGTAAATTAGTATAATTTTTGGTAATATTGAGAGGGTTTTTAATAAAATACCGTGAAAAAGCCTAAGAAAGGTGTGTTACATTAGTCTATTCTTAAAAATATTGGAAGGAAAAAGTTCATTTTTCAACAAAAGATGTGAACAACCTCCGTTTTTTTTTTCAGTAAAAACTGTATCAAAGACCATCCATTCCTACCATATTTTTTAGAAAAACTTTTCGCTATGGTCTAAGAATAAACACTTACCGTAGAAGTATTTACTAATACCATGTCATCATGATGGAATGTATCGAACCTTCTGCACGCTAGATAACTCTCACTTGGGTGGTTTTTATGTAATAATTAATTAGCTCACTAGTCTTGTACTTTTACCTATTCCGTTTTATCTGTACAATACTCGCTGTCATTGTTAAGGACTACACATACCTACTTTCCATTCTGAAGTAAAAGATACATACTCCACGTGGAGTGTAGACTCCATATTAAATACGAAACAAAATTCAACTTATTTATTGCATACTCGATTCTGTGCGACATATTCATTTAAATTATTCATAAACCATGAAGACTAATGGGCATTTAAATTCACGTGCAAAAGCCAATTAACCATCAATTAAACAAAATACAGCCAACCGCTAACATAAAATAAAGTAAGTAAAATGGAATGAAAACTTTGTACGAAATTGCTGATAATATTTTGCTTTGTCGTATAAAATTAATCATTTAACCAGACACGTCAAAGCTAAATTGCATATTAATTTAACTATCAGTTTTAACACAGAATATGACCTACATAGAAGACTTACTTTCTTTTTTTTCTTTTTAACCCTGACTCCATGTGGAAGTTTAATTATTCTACGTGTTACTCGTTTTCTCCGTTTTTTACCTACAACGGGAAACTCTTGGTTTGAACTTCACCTGATGCAAAGTGATGATCAGGCCGAATTTCTATTCGATGAAATCAAGCTTCACCCGAATCGCTCAACCAGAAGAACTGGATATCTTAGTTCTTACTTATCTTAGCAAGTGGTTACTTTCGCTGGATTATTTAAGTACCGAAAACCTGTTAAATTGATGTTTTTAGGCTACCTACTCATGATGTTTCTTTTGCACCAGAAATTGCATTGTTGTACTGGTTTTCCTTTTCTCTGCAAGTTACACACTTAATTTTTTGGTTTTCCAAGATACAGGCTTGGCCTAGTTTGGAAACCTGTATATTTACTTTGTGTCTCCTTCAGCAATGTACTATTTATATTTATATTTTTATTGTGTTACTACAATTGTAAAAGTTTTGTGCAATAAAGAAATATTATTTAATTACCTCAATCTTCCGAAACATTGTTATGATTGTGGGGATCTTGCCAGGTGAATTTTTAACAAGCTCTATCAACCAAACCGAACAGAAAAGGTGCTAAGTAGGTCAAAAGGTTTGTGATCTCAGTTGTTACTACCTAAGCCTGAAGGAGAAATAGAAGTTTCGAACTTCTTTTCTAAGAAAGACAGCTAGGCTAATTCTCAATATTATTTATTTTCTCCCCACTCTACAATCATGTTGCTTAATATTCCGAATTCATATCGTCTTGGTAAAGTAATATAGATGCGAATATTGTGTCTCACAAACTTATTGTGTGTGAACATTATTCGTTCCTGTGTAGTCTTGAATCAATAACTTCAACATGTTACTGTCGCAATGTTACAGTTTATCTGCGGGAACAATATTTCATGGCAGATTTGAATGCCTTTTCTCTGGCATACCAACGCGTTTTCTTTTCAGAATAAAATGGTTTTTTTTTCAAGTCACCGTCTACCTACTGTAATATTGTTTGTAAATCTAGATTCTAGAGTTAGGTACTATTTTAATACGATACATAAGTAATTAAATATCGAAGTTTAAAGCTCATATTATTCAAATTCAAGCATCATCAAACCAGATACCCAAATGGCACACATGCTATATTTATTGCATCTTGTTTATTAAATCCCCACGGTCAAGTAATGTGTCATTTATTACCTTACTCAAATACGGGAATTTTACTTAAGTCCTTATTTACTATGTAATTATGTAGAGGTAACTTAAAATACAAAGATGTTTCCATTATTGTTTTATTTCAAGGATACAGTGGATAAGTAAAGCTAAGCTACTCTCAAACACACCGTAAGCGAAGTTTACCTATGCGAAAAAGGTAAACACGCGCTTGCCTCAACTTCAGTAAGCTCTAAACATTAATTACAGCGCATGATATTATAACCCTGTATTTTAATCAAAACATATAGCAACTTAGCAACAGGGTAATAAGTATGTAGAGGTAACTTAAAAGACAAAGATATTTCTATTATTGCCGTTATATTTCGAGGTACCTTGGCATTAGGTAAGTTAAGCTACTTTCAAACACCAGTAAGCGCCGTTTACCTATGCACATAATGAATCGCAGAATATCAGCGTCGAGGTACCTACTACGTACCTTGGCATATGTTGAGCGAGGACCTGTTTGGTACAATTATATTTTTAATTTTAAGTTTTAATTTGTAATTTTATTGTGGTGTGCCAAATAAACGTTTTTTTATTTATTTATTTAATGCACCAAACGCCCCAGGCGCCGGGTAAAAGGTAAACACGCGCTTGCCTCAACTTCAGTACGCTACTAACATTCATTACAGCGCATGATATAACCCTGTATAATCAAAACATACAGCAACAGGGTAATATCGCTGCGAATATCGCGTCGGCAATAAAACGTAGCCGCCGCTATATTTCAACGCCGCAGTGAATCCTAGCGGGTGCATCTTGCATCAGAATTACGTGAATCAATAAACCAGGTACAGAAGTTGCTGTAAATTTTGGAATTTTATAGTTACTGCATACAGCTTCCGTGGTAAGAGTGAGACTCTCTAGACTTAACTGTTACTTGAATAAAGTAGGTAATGTTTTAACTTTAAGCCATGTCTGGTTAATAAAACTGATTATACAAATTATAGCCTGACCAGGAACATAAAAACCCTCGCCATGTTGCGGAAAACTAATGGTACTAATTTCTTTTAATGGCAACAGTAACTGAAAACTTCATTGACATGTCACCTTGCATGTCAGTCNAGTGCAGTGAGTGTAGTGTCTCTAGTGACAATAAAAAAAAACTGTTATGTCAATGTCGCGTCACGCGTGATGTCGGTCAATGTCGGTTGGCGAGTTTGTTTGTGTCAATCAACAAAGAAATAGGCTGAAAGGCAAACGTTTAAATAAACTGTTGTTTTTGCAAAGTCTTCCAAAAGAACACTGGAAATACTTAGGATATAACAAACTTATAAAAATAAATGCGGATGTTTTTTTTTTATTCTTACTTTAATATACAGTGTGAGTCACGTTAAAGTGTACATATGAAAATAGATGAAACTAGACCTATTTTTATCGACAAAAAAGAGGTCAAAAAATTTTTGAGATTTTTTTTATTTTTTATAGAATTTTTTTTCTTCCAATTACTTATTGTAAAGAAAACGTAATAACTTTTAAACTAAGCGGTATATCCTGATATGATTGGGATAGAGACATGCGATTTTAGGTTTTACAAAGATAATACGATAGAGAATAATACAAAGTAATAAAAACCACCTGTTATAGGGACATTTTTTGGAGAAATTTATCAAATAACCAAAAAAACACGAATTTAAAAGCAGATTTTTTTCAAAAACTGTCATTTTTTATTATTTGTTGGCATTTTTTGTGTATTTTATATATTTTTTTAGTATCGCCTGTTATTTAGCATTATTACTGTTTTTATTTTATCAGGATATACCGCTTAATTTAAAAGTTATTACGTTTTCTTTACAATAAGTAATTGGAAGAAACAATTTTTTATAAAATAAATAAAAAAAAAAACAAAAAATTTTTGACCTCTTTTTTGTCGATAAAAATAGGTCTAGTTTCTTCTATTTTCATATGTACACTTTAATGTGACTCACACTGTATAATGAAGATTTTTCTCATGTATGGCTTTTACTGTTTTTTAATAATACAATGCTTAAATTAGTAGATTATAAAATTTTTTAAAAAAGTACTCGATTTATACAAAACATCGATGTTTTCTTCCAATACATCGAAAGAAATCGATGTACAGTTTTAATATNTCGTTGAATGATACGTTGTCCAATGTGAGGATATGTGAGTCCTGAAGTCCTGTTGAACCCTTTGGAGTGGATACCATCATTTCACTAGGGCCAGCAGGACATTCGTCATCTTCAATTTTTGATAAGCTGTTTGGAGCTACAGTAGGTGAGGACTGTTTTTTTCTTAATGTTATAAAGGACGGCTCAGGATTAATTGTTGTTTGTTTGGTGGATTTCTCTTGGCATGTTTTGCACTTCCATTTTTTCTTTGAATCAGTATCTTTTAAACGATGTAGCTTCTCAGAGTAGCCAATACAGTCGTATTCATAAGCTTTCTTACATAGCGAACATGTTACTGTATTTTTTGTGTCAACTTTATTTTTGCACTTACTGCATACTACCTGTGGCGCCATCTGTCGGCCCCCACTCGTCACAGTAGTTTGTTTGGAGACCCAAACTTCCGAATGCAATGGTTGCTTCAATGATTGGTTTCGTGTATGGAAAAATGTGTCAATATTCGCGGAGAATACTTTAAAAAGCAATAAATACATTTTTAAATAGTAATGTTGTTTCACTTCCTTGATTCCCGAAATTTTCAGTGCCGCCCTCGTAGGCCTCCCCCAATGCTTCCCATGTTGATCGGTTGGTAGCGGCCTGCGTCCAGCGCTTCCTTGCTACCTTTATGACATCGTCGGTCCACCTTGTGGGTGGTCGTCCTACGCGTTTTCCGGTACGCGGCCTCCATTCCAGAACCTTGCTGCCCCATCGGCCGTCAGTTCTGCGTGCTATGTGCCCTGCCCATTCCCACTTCAGCTTGCTAATCCGTTGGACTATCTCAGTAAAGACCTTACTATTGGTTTATAGGGGAGAAAGCGATGGATGGCGGAGTGGTGAACCATGGTTACGTGGGCGACCTGCACCCGTCGAAGCCGGGCAACAACAACCGCGCGGCGCGGTTCCCAAGCTCCAGCGATTCTACCAGCGGATACTACTCTACAAGTGAGTTCAACCTACACTTAAGCTTGAAACTTATCTAATAGAGAATGTTACTAGGCGAAATAAAATTGTCGCCGTTGTTCAGACATTTCGTTCGCTAATATAAACAAATATCTCGATAACACAACCCCGAACACAACACTTCGCCGCTAAATTCGAGCCTGAGGCCTGACACCCAGACCCATCACAGAAATTAAAATTAAACCAAACCCAAACTTAATACGATTGTGTCGTTTTATTACGAAGGTATGCCAGCTCAGGTAAAGACTTGCACTTTAAGATCTAATGTATATGAAACAATGACGAGCTAATAAATTGAGCGAGTGAAGGAACGTGAAAAATTTGGCAACACCTTGCAATGTTGTATAATCTTGTACGCTGGACCACATTCACATCATCCACGTCAAAATGAAAATTTTTTATTTAGTACATAGGCCCTTTCCAGGGCGCTTCCACGTCCCAAAGAGCTTGCCCTACCTCCACACACATGACAACACGTGGACAACACATGGACACTGAAAAGAAGTGGCGAAAGAAACCGAAAGTCACTATTGTCAGCCTCTTTTTCAATTAAATACGAGAAATCGATCCTCTTAACTATTCCGTTGCAGGTACATCGATAGCCGAAGAGAACCCTGGACTCTCCATCTCCATCCAGTTCCGTCAGCCAGAGGTTATGCTGTTCACCGACCTCAGCAAGTCGGAGGGCCACGCGCTGCTGCTACGAGCCGAGCTAATGCTGGACTACTCCTCGCACGCCGCGCAGGAGAGCCTGGTGCTGTCGCTGGCCGGCCTGCAGGTGAGGCCTGCAGCAGGAGAGCCCGGGCTGTCCTCTCCTAGCGAGTCGGAGGCCACGCGCTGCTGCTACGAGCCGAGCTAATGCTGGACTACTCCTCGCACGCCGCGCAGGAGAGCCTGGTGCTGTCGCTGGCCGGCCTGCAGGTGAGGCCTGCAGCAGGAGAGCCCGGGCTGTCCTCTCCTAGCGAGTCGGAGGCCACGCGCTGCTGCTACGAGCCGAGCTAATGCTGGACTACTCCTCGCACGCCGCGCAGGAGAGCCTGGTGCTGTCGCTGGCCGGCCTGCAGGTGAGGCCTGCAGCAGGAGAGCCCGGGCTGTCCTCTCCTAGCGAGTCGGAGGCCACGCGCTGCTGCTACGAGCCGAGCTAATGCTGGACTACTCCTCGCACGCCGCGCAGGAGAGCCTGGTGCTGTCGCTGGCCGGCCTGCAGGTGAGGCCCGGGCTGTCCTCTCCATCCAGTTATCCAGTCCAGGGGGAGGGGATGTGATTTTGAACCTTATCGTCTTGACCTGAAGGCACAAAGTCCAATGAAGAATCTTAACTTAATGATATAGTTGGTTGCAGCGACCTGGCAGCACGGCTTGGTGCGGAAAACAGCGTTCGGTTGATATAAAGTTCAGTCGATCGAATATAACCAAATCAATTTGAAAACACTAAGGCTTGATTTCCTCCTACGCTGACGTCGGTCGCGTACATCGGTAGAGCGTACGAATAAACACAATGTTCTATGAAGCACCGCACTGCAACGCCGTCGTCAGCGGCAGATGATTTCATAGAACTAGTGTGTAATCGTGCGCGCCGCTGACGTCGGTCACCGATGTCAGCCTCAAAGGAAATCAAGCCTAATGTTTCTTCGTCCTCTAGGTGATGTCCAAACTGCAGTCCAAGCTAAAGAACCTGCCTCCCCAACCGGTGCTGAAGCCGTGCGACGTGGAATTCTCGAAGTGCTTCAAGAACGTCGAGGAAGGCGTCAAGGTCAAGCTCTCTGTGTCCGAGATAGAAGTGCATATTGCAGCCACTACTGTACATACAGTTATGGGTATGTAGATGCATAAATCAACCATAGATTTCGGGTAATCTTGAAAACTTTTATCACAACAAACCATTACCACCTGACTTTGACCGTGACTATAACGATGACCAGTGCATTTTGTATGGAGATTGACAGATTTTTGACGTTTGTCAAAGTTAAAGTTACAACCCAGCCTGAGTGTAATATTGTTATCGTGAATTAGCATTGCAGTGAAAAATTATCATGTTACTTACAAGGCAATCTCCATGGTCAATTGGGTCACGTAAATGTTCGCAACATTCAGACTTTTTGCCATTTTATTTAATAGCCCGTTTTCTCCACAGACATCATCGAGGAGATCACGACTGAGCTCTCAATCCCGGACGAAAAGGAGCCCTTCAACTTCGCGTCCTACCACCCTAAAATGGAAAAGCCCGACGAAGACTTATGGTCTCCTAAGAAGCTGACTCCCTACGTCATGCTGAACCCTGAGGATAGCTACGTGCAGCCCAAGTATCCCACGGTGACGCCCACGGAGACGTGTAGTGTGCGAGTGCCCAGTGTGAGAGTACTGTTTGAACTGGAGCAGACTGTGCGCGTGCCTGTGCTCATGCTTGAGGTCAGTGACGTCATAAAACTAGTTGTGGTTTAAGTATTTGTTGACTCTGGGTAGAACAGCGTCTGTCTCCCAAGTAGATGATGCCCTACGTCATGCTGAACCCTGAGGATAGCTACGTGCAGCCCAAGTATCCCACGGTGACGTGCAGTGTGCGAGTGCCCAGTGTCCGTGTGATGTTTGAACTGGAGCAGACTGTGCGCGTGCCTGTGCTCATGCTTGAGGTCAGTGACGTCATAAAACAGTTGTGTTTCGGTTGATTCTGGATAGAACATCGTCTGTCGAAGAAGATGACTCCCTACGTCATGCTGAACCCTGAAGATAGCTACGTGCAGCCCAAGCATCCAGGGTCAGGGTGCTGTTTGAACTGGAGCAGACGGTGCGAGTGCCTGTGCTCATGCTTGAGGTTAGTGACGTCATAAAACTAGTTGTGTTTCGGTTGAGTCTGGGTAGAGCAGCGTCTGTCTTCTAAGAAGTTAATGCCCTATCTAATGATGGACCCTGAGGATAGCTACGTGCAGCCCAAATATTCCACGGAGACGTGCAGTGTGCGAGTGCCCAGTGTCCGCGTGCTGTTTGAACTGGAGCAGACGGTGCGAGTGCCTGTGCTCATGCTTGAGGTCAGTGACGTCATGGGAAGCTTTGTGGTGTAGGTGTTTACTGGCTGAGTAGAACAGCATCTGTCTCCCAAGTAGATGATGCCCTACATCATGCTGAACCCAGAGGATAGTTACGTGCAGCCCAAGTATCCCACGGTGACGCCCACGGAGACGTGCAGCGTGTCCGGATGCTGTTCGAGCTGGAGCAGACGGTGCGAGTGCCTGTGCTCATGCTTGAGGTCAGTGAAGTCATGAGACTCCTTGTGACGTAAAAGATTGATTGGTAGATGATGTTGAATAAAGTGTAGGTGAGTGCAGCTTATGGACACGTTGGTGAAACTGACTGAATGAGGGTTTTCGCGTATGAAAAATCCGCCAGATGGCAATACGTAGACGCAAGGTCCAAATGCTGCATGATTGGTTATTTTTGACATGACATTGACAGATATGTCAAAATCCACCAATCACGCAGCAGTCAGACCCCACATCCACGTCCCGCCATCTAGCGGATCTTTCATACGCGAAAACCTTCATTAAAATTTGTAGTCATAAAAAGTTGGATATTATTACGGTGTTTCCCGCGTTTCCATTGTCGTTCTTCTATCCGAGTTTGCGTCGCGCCCGCGTCTATGGTCTGGCAAAATACAGAGTTGTTACAACTACCAGTGTAGGCGACGCACCACATATTCGTACTGTGCTCATGAATTGTATTGTTTTTTATTATTCTCTTGTCTATCGTTTACGAAATAAATCTACGGCCGACCAAAGAGTTACCGCGATGTGTAAATTAGCAAAACGCAGTAAAAACGCACCTAAGTTCAGTCGTCCGCGCGCCACCGCAAACGTAAGCACGCATATAGCTCCTCGGTCGCACCGTTTTTACCTATCGAAAATAGTGGTCTTATTTCCATCCCTTACAACCAGTAATAAAATGTTTTCTCGTATCCTGTCCAGATGTCGGGCGAGCTGACGCTGCACGACTGGTCGCGTCAACTGCACGGCTGCGGCAGCGTGGCGGCGCAGGCGCACGTGCATCCCTTACAATCGTTCCTTCGAGCCGGATCTGTCTAACCAGGACTATGTATCGTACTCCAACCAGTGATAGACTTTTAACCACTAAATCCCGTGAAAAGTTGCTCGATAGGATTGAATATGCGTCGGAGCACGTGCTGTCACGTGATCAAGTACAAAATGAACTGTTAAAAACTAACCGTGCAGTGAAAACCGAATCAAATGCAGTGTCATGTGAATCATCATCATCACATCTCAAGCGGAAGCAGCTTGAATTAGCTGCAGCAGAGGCCAAGGCGAAGATCGAAAAGGAACTTATCGATAAACGCCTGGAATGCGAGTTAGCTATGGTCACAGATGATAAGTGTTCATATAAAAGCCGTACAAAGACAAGTAAGAGTAGGACTGTCAGCATTGACGGAAGGCAGTCCAACGTTGAGCATTGGCTGGAGCAGAGTAATGTTCAGCCGTCACCAGTGGCAGCGGCAACGGCCACGGAGGCAGCGCCGGCACCTATTGTCACGGATCCCCGCCGCGCGCCTGCCCCTGACCTGCCCGTCGACGGTATACTTCAGCTAGCCCACACGCTCAAGGATATTATGGCTACATCACCTCATCATCAAGACGAACGCTTACTGACCCGTTTGGCCACCCCTCGTGAATTACCGCTATTCACTGGCGACTGCTTCGAGTGGTTACATTTTCGAAGCGCCTATGAGGAATCTACACGTGTCTGTCAATTTACTGAGTCAGAAAACCTTTGGAGACTTCGTCGTGCACTTAGAGGTGAAGCAAAAGAAGCTGTCACTGACCTACTGATCGGCAGCACCTCACCGGATGTTGTAATGGAGGCACTAGAACTCAGGTTTGGGCACTCAGATCTAATTGTACAACAATTGACATCACAAATGAGAAAGTTGTCACCACTTTCGAGCAATTATCAACATGATATTATCAACTTTTCGATGAAAGTAAATAACTGTGTTGCAACTTTGAACTCACTGAATCAGTATGACTACTTGAGAAGTCCAGAATTGTCATCAGCAATCATCTCTAAACTGCCTAGTATTTTAATTAGCAAGTGGACAGACTACGCTTATGATAAGCTAGCAAGCAACGTTCCTAAGCTTCAACTATTAGCTTCGTTTCTCAAACGTGAAGCCACAATGTCATCAGTCGTGGGAGTCACACACCTGAGAGACAGTCGTAAACTGGAACCGACAGCAACGCATAACCGAAGGTCTGATGATAAACCTCGCTATTTCACGTCTAACCGTCCTGTACTAACTACGTCAACAAACGTCGCTCAATCCCAGCCTGCAGCGTGCATTTATTGCTCGAAGTCAAATCACTTGCTAACGGAATGTCGTCCATTCAAACGTGCTATGCGAAGAGATCGATGGAGATTTGTCAAAGCTAAAAATCTATGTTTTTGTTGTCTATTGGAGCGGCACGAAAATAATGCGTGCCCCGCACCCGTATGCGACGTAGATAACTGCGGGCTATCGCATCATCAACTATTGCATTATAAAAAACCTTCGCCACGCACGCAATCGATCAACACAGTGCAGCAAGAGGCGGACTTATCACCGGCAGCTGAGAGTGAGTCATCGCGCGGCGAGACCGTGGCGCACGTCGCCGCCCCGAGCGCGCCGGCTGCGCGCGCGCCGCCCGGCCGCACCGGCGGCGCCGGCGGCCGCCCTGCGCCCCAGTCAGTGAGTGAAGTGCTACTCAAAGTGATCAAAGTCAATCTTAGTGGCCCTAAGGGCATAGTGAGTGCGTATGCGTTATTAGATGACGGTGCATCCGTTTCGTTAATCGATAAGGACTTGGTAAGCGAATTAGGTCTTGTTAGTTCTCAGTCTAGCCCAATAAAATTTATTGATGCCTTTGGTATTGAAATATTTCAATCTGATGTACCTAAAGTTATGACAAAGATTTCTGGTTCTTTTGAAAATAAATATTATGACGTCACTTTGCGACAGGTTGATAATTTAAATTTACCTAAACAAAATTTGTCTGTAATTAAAAACATGCAATGCAATCACTTGTTACATGTAAAAGATTATGTTTGTACTGAATGTGTGGTGCCTCGACTACTTATAGGTGAAGATAATTATTATCTTTTAGCTCCTCATGAAATTCTGCATGGCAATAAGCAGGAACCTTATGCTACGAGATGCTTACTAGGCTGGTCCATTCATGGTTGCTACGGTCTCACTCACACTCCCGTGAACGGGCACACGTTCCATCTCGCTCACTCAGAGGAGCACGATTATGTAAACGAGTTAAATCGTTTAGTTAAAATGTCATTTGAGTTAGACTCGATCGGAGTTTCAACCTTACGCCGCGAGAATACGGCACATTTGAGAGCGGTACGTATTCTAGATGAAACATCGCGTAATATTGGTAATCAATGGGAAGTAGGTTTACCTTTTGTTAAAGACCAACTTACACTTCCGGACACCTATGACTACGCACGACTTAGGCTCCAGGGCTTACTGAAAAGGTTTCAGTCTGACGGTACGTATGCTGAAAAATATCGTCAGGAGATGAGGAGACTTTTTGACAACGGCTACGCGCGGGAACTGCAGGTAAATGAACCCTCGCCTAGTCACACATGGTATTTGTCACATTTTGGAGTCCAAAACCCTAACAAGCCTGGAAAACTGAGGTTAGTGTTCGATTGTGCAGGTAAAGTGAAAGGTGTCTGCCTAAATGATTTTTTGCTTACTGGACCTGATTTATATAACTCCTTATTAGGTATTATGTTACGTTTTCGTGAACATAAAATTGCTTTAACGGCAGATATAAAAGATTTTTTTGTTCAAATTAAAATACGCCCTGAAGATCAAAATGTTTTTCGTTTTCTTTGGCAGGAAAGCACTGAAGCGCCTTTAAAACAATGTGTTATGCAAAGTTTACTTTTTGGGGCAACTTGTTCACCTTTTATTGCACAATATATTAAAAATAAAAACGCAATAAAATATCAAGATATTTGTCCCGAGGCGGTCTATGTAATATTAAATAATCATTATATGGATGATTGTTTACATTCTTGTAGCACTGAAAACCAGGCCGTGCAACTGGTCCGCGACATAACTGAAATACATAAAAAGGCGGGTTCGAAATAACTAAGTGGTCGAGTAATAACAAACAAGTGTTGCAGTCCGTCCCGGCCGCAGCGCTCGCGCCAACTGCCATATAGGGATATTNACTCTGGGATTGATGTGGTATCCAAGTGATGATTGTTTTGGTTTTAAAATACATTTGGATCGCATTTCACCTAACATTTTGAATGGCACCGAGCCGCCTACAAAAGCTCAAATGTTAAGTATTATAATGTCAGTTTATGATATTCACGGGTTTCTTTCTCCGTTCATAATAAAAGGTAAAATTATATTTCAAAATGTACATCGCAGTGGTGTTGAATGGAATTGCCGCATCCAATCCGAGGAGCATGCTCTGTGGGTTAGTTGGCTTAATGATTTGCAAAGCCTACGGTTACTTCGCATTCCACGTTTTTATGGCAATGCGCGTGAGTGGGTGTCTTGCTACACAGATGAACATATGTTATTATACAACGCAAATAATATCAATGAATACGATATCGTTGATAAACAAATGCACATTTTTTGTGATGCTTCCGCTAAAGCTTACGCAGCGGTAATATATTGGCGTTTTACACGTTTAGACGGGCATGTTTTAGTGTGTTTTGTTGCCAGCAAATCTAGGGTTAGTCCTTTAAGGCCAGTTTCCATTCCAAGGCTGGAATTACAGGCCGCGCTCTTGGGTTCTAGACTGGCGGCGACTATACAGCGAGAACACAAAGATACACAGCCTGTAAAACGATATTTTTGGACGGACAGTAGCACGGTCCTTCAGTGGATCCGATCTGACCCTCGTAGCTATAAGCCTTACGTGGCTCATCGCCTGGGGGAGATCGACGAGCTAACCAAGTCGTGTGAATGGCGACACGTACCCACTGCTGTCAACGCGGCTGACTTGGCCACACGAGAGGACGCTCCTCCGCTTGCGTACTCTAGTGACTGGTTCCAAGGTCCGACTTTTTTACGGTGCTCTGAAGATCATTGGCCTAAAGACCGTAAGTTCACTAAGGCATTAGAGCACGCAAAGTGCGAGGAGCGGATAGTAAATGTGATAGTGGATAGTGACTCATTATTATCTTTGCCCAATGAAGATAATATTTCGAGTTGGACCACACTCGTGCGCGCCACAGCAAGGGTTTTACTGTTCATTAGAAGATGTCAGCGTAAGGATTGCAAGCTTGACATGCTTCTAATGAAGGAGGCAGAAGACCTTCTAATAAAAAAATGTCAACATGATTGTTTTGCTACAGAAGTTTCTTGTCTTAAGCAAAACAATCAGCTGCCACGTAATAGCCGTCTGTTACAATTAACCCCATATCTGGATGAAACTGGCATTATGCGTGTTAACAGTCGCGTCGAGTCGGTAGCAGGCATCGATCATGACACACGAAGGCCAGCGATACTAGACGGAAAGCACAGAATTACACATTTGTTGGTGGAACACTTTCATAAACAAGCACATCATGGTGCGAATGAACTTGTCGTAAATAACTTACGGCAGCGCTATTGGGTGCTGAAACTCAGACCAACTGTGCGTTCCATTGGATCACGATGCTTATACTGTAGGTATAGGCGAGCAACGCCACAGCCCCAGCGCATGGGCGACCTGCCAGCTGCGAGGCTACAACATAATAGGCGACCTTTCAGTCACACTGGTGTGGATTTCTTTGGCCCACTCGAAGTCACAGTTGGACGTGGGAGACAGAAAAGGTATTGCATGCTATTTACTTGCTTGACTATTAGAGCAATACATATTGAAGTGACAGAAAACCTAACTGTCGATTCCACAATCATGGCTCTTAGGCGAATGGCTGCTCGTCGCGGTATGCCACAGGTAATCATATCAGACAACGGCACTAACCTCAGAGGCGCCGACACGGAGCTGAAGCGCAGTATCGCTCAACTAGACCAGGAGGCAGTGCGCGAGGCCGGGGTTGTCCGAGGCGTGGAGTGGAGGTTTATTCCGCCTGGTGCGCCTGAAATGGGTGGATCTTGGGAGCGGATGATCCGCACAGTCAAGTCCTCTTTGAAAGTAGTTTTAAAAGAGCGTGCACCTCATACTGAAACCTTGTTGACGCTGCTGGCTGAAGTCGAGGCGTTAGTTAATGGTCGTCCGATTACTCATGTTTCGACTGACCCGAACTATCCTGAAGCTCTCACTCCCAACCATTTTTTAATTGGTTCATCATCCCCTAGTGCTCAGTTTGGTAGGTATGATAACTCAGATCTCACTCTTAGGAAACNTGGTGCCTCGACTACTTATAGGTGAAGATAATTATTATCTTTTAGCTCCTCATGAAATTCTGCATGGCAATAAGCAGGAACCTTATGCTACGAGATGCTTACTATAGTAGAGAATTTAGTGCAATGATTTGTATGGAGACCCCTCCACTTTGGTATAGAAGGCTCATTTTTGCACCAGTTATTCTTTAGGTGCTCCTGTGTAGATTTCCGTCGGTAGACATCGGGAGCCCCCCCTGTGGTAGCAGGGGGAGGGGGGGCAAGTTTCCTTCTGCCGCGCTTCACTTTAAGGCCTATATCTTCAAAACTATAGGTATTAGGGCAAGTGTGGTGTCATTTTCGGATAATTAAAGGATGGCGAATTCATTTCTAGAACAAAATTTTTGCCTTTTCATACAAAAAAATAGAAATATTGAGGAAAATTCACAAAAGCCAAAAAATATTTTTTTAAATAAACGTCGTTTACTTTTAAACCACTGGAGATATTCTAATAAAAAAAATATGTACTGGAAGCTACATTTCTCAGGATTATAAATATATACCATAGTATGGTACTTTTTTCGAAAAAAGTAGGTGAAAAAATTTTTTCTTCAGGACACACCGGGCGAATTTTACTGCGCGTCGGAAAAAAATATTTATTTTATCCATGAATTCATACTATTTGGTTCATAAGCAAGTAAAGATTATTATTTTAGAATTTATTTAGAGTTCCAGGCACATCAAGCTACCATGATTTGTATTTTTCTTCAATTAATTTTGAACTCTATGTGTAAGACATAAGGTTGAAAATAGCTTAAATACATTTTAATATTTAAAGAACTTGAATTTGTCTAAACGTCTAGTGATTATTATTATTTTAATTAACACTTATTTCTACATACTATTGTACCAGTGATTTAACGGAAAGGTAAGTGTGAGGAAAGTAAGGATTAATAATACTATGATTGAGGGGTGATTATTTTTATCACAAAGGCTACGGCTGTGACACTTACAGCACTCGTTCATAGTCAAGCATGTAGTAATAGTAAGAGGTACTTGATCTAAAACAATACCAATGGATTAATTGGTGTGAAATTAATTAGTGTGAAAAAAACAGTGAATTGAGCTAATAAGTGGATAGATCTTGAACAAGAGAAGACTAGAAATGAGGACCAAAATTCCAACAGAACAGCCTAATCTGTTTTACTGACAGCTCCAAGCCAAGATGGCCTCGAGAACGAGAGCGGGCGTCTACTGTAAACACTACGAACACAGTGAACGTTTAAGGAGGTTTGCTACAGTATTTCAAGCTGAATTCTACGCTATAATTATGTGTGCACTAAAAAACAGGGGTGTAAAAAACGAAATATTTACATCCTGAGCCAGCACTCAAACAAAGCCATCGCCTCAGTGAAGGTTGAGTCTAGAATTATTCTAGATGCAATCTTAAAATGAACAAACTCGGAAGGCATGACAAAGTGTCCCTGATGTGGGATACCTGGACATGCACGGATCGAATGCAATGCGATAGCCGACAGTCTAGCGAGACAAGGATCAGAGACGATCTATTGGGTCAGAACTGATAGTAACTTTATCTAAAAGCATACCTCATGGCCATTTTATAGCCATATCCAAGAAGCACAGGGCTGAACGGGAAAGCTCCAACGATATATGCCTCTCCAAATAATTCCTAAAGGGAAATACAGGGTCATGGAGAAAACTCATCAAAGGTAAGCCCAAGCAATTAGTACGTAACAAATAGTAACAAGCAGGTACGCAAACTGGGCATTATGGAACGAACCACATGTCCCACAAAATGGGCCTAACAATAGAAGCTCTCGAACATGTGGAATACATGTGGGGTCCATGAAACACTTAATACCGTAAGGATGGGTCTGCTTGGGTCAGCATAACCAGCATCAGAAGACTATTAGGTGGCTTTCACTCAGACGCTTAATTCACCTAACTAATGGATTGGATTTTTTTTGGATGATATAGGGAATAAAAAAGAGAGAATAAAGATCCTAATGGGTCGCTGTGGAATATGCTTAGGTGTGGCCCTACATAAGATAACCCAGACAGCTTTGTATCAGCATTGGTTACTGGCAGTATATCAAGGGTTTCGCGTATAGGATCAGTTGCAAGCAACCGACTCGGTCTTCCCTTTACCCGACTGGTTGGGGGTGGACCAAAGTCGATAGCAACATGGAGCCTACATGGACCGATTTGCCCGTAGCTGCCGAAGCTTGCCTGGAAATGGTGAGATGTAAGTGCAAGAAGTAGTGCAGAAGCTGGCGCTGTCTGAAAAAACAACTAAAATGGTCACAGCCGTAGCCTTTGTGCTAAAAATAATCACCCCTCAATCATAGTATTGTCAATCCTCACTTTCCTCACACTTACCTTTCCGTTAAATCACTGGNTCCTGAAGCTCTCACTCCCAACCATTTTTTAATTGGTTCATCATCCCCTAGTGCTCAGTTTGGTAGGTATGATAACTCAGATCTCACTCTTAGGAAACGCTGGCGTGTAGCTCAAAGACTCACCGACATGTTTTGGACACGATGGGTGAAAGAGTATTTGCCCACCTTAATCCCTCGCCAGAAATGGACCACAGAGTCTAGACCACTGCAGGTCGATGATTATGTCATTCTTATTGAACCGCACTTGGAACGTAGTTGCTGGCGACACGGTGTTGTGAGTGCGACCCACGCGGGCCGCGACGGCCGCGTCCGCGTCGTAGACGTGCGCACACGCACCGGGGTGCTGCGCAGGCCGGTAACGCGCGTCGCTCTACTTTCACCACGGGATGATAGTGCTTAGTCAGCACTAAGGAGGCAGAGTTGTAGGCGACGCACCACATATTCGTACTGTGCTCATGAATTGTACTGTTTTTATTATTCTCTTGTCTATCGTTTACGAAATAAATCTACGGNCGATTTGTCAATATTTTTGACAATGATGACTTTGATGAGTCACAGTATAATAATATCAGTGTTACTGGAGAAAGCTAAAATTTTAGATAATTAAGAATTATGAATTTTGTCTACCTATTGAAATTTAAATCGTTGGCATCCTTTTAAACTAAGACTACTCATGATACATAGTACATTCCTCAAATATGAGACAAAACCAATGAGTTAAAATTACATTTTAATAGTACCTACATACAATCGTCTTACACTCTTTAGATGAGAACACTGACACAAATAAATAATAAAAAATTAGGTCAAATATAGGGGCAGCTGCACGTCACTGAAAGACGATTCTGTTTACTCGGCATGAATCCTTGCTTACAGATGCAGATGTAAATAGAGTTATAACTGGACAAATTTTACATGAAATGTTTAACAGAAATCAGTTAAAAAACACATACATGGAATACCAATAAGGTTGCGGAGGGAAAGCTACCTATTATAAACTAGCGGCCGCCCGCGACTTCGTTTTACCCCCGATAGATATGATGTTTTACCTCGTTGTTGAAAGATGGCGTTTCACGGCTTCCCCCGAATGAATATTTACGAACGTCATACCGGATTTTAACCAATGACGATAGATGGCGCTTTTTAGACACGTCTTATTTATTTATTGAAATTTATTTGCCACATATCGTCATAATGTTAATCTGGGTTATAAACAATAATACTGTAAAGTTTCAACAAAATCCGTTCAGTAGTTTTTGCGTGAAAGAGTAACAAACATCCAGACATCATGACATCCAGACATCCAAACTTTCACCTTTATAATATTTGTAGGATATTTCACAATCCAACATATTAGATTTACTATTTAGCATTTACTTACAGTAAATATTAGTTATGATTGTGAAATATTTAAAATAAAAAAAAGAATAACACAAAATAGGGTTTCAAATTACCTATCTATATCTAATATTATAAAGAGGTAAAGTTTGTGTGTTTGTATATTTGTTAAATTGTAAGGGGTAATCTCGGGATCTACTAAACCGATTTTAAAAAATCTTTCACCAATAGAAAGCCACATTATATCTGAGTGTAATAGGTTATATAAAAACCGAAAAATTCCACGCGGGCGAAACGGCGGGCGGAAAGCTAGTTTATTTATTATTATGTAAGAGCATAATTATTAAAGTCGAAAAAATGACTGACGGATATCGTAGAGACCTAAAAGTTTGAAGGTGTGTTCTTTGTATGACGTAGGAATCTCATAAGAAAAGATTTTCCGAAATGGGGTCATGAAATGAAGGGGGTGAAAAAAGGGGGCAAAGTTTGTATGGGACAAAGTGATTCCTTGGTTCAATCTACTTGAAATTGAGCTTAACAATTCCTTAATATAATTCATGAAAGACGTGTGGAACGCGTAGAAAGTAATTTTGGCAGTCATTTTCTTCGAAGTTGATATCAATACTACTTAGTGCCTTTGATTTAATTACTTTTTATTTTTACAAGTGTTTGAAAACTCCATGTCAGATTGTGTTCAATGTCAAGTGAAATCTCAAATTGAAATGTCTCAATCTCAACGAGAAGACTCTGTATTTATTCCTAGAATTCCCCTAACACCGTCAAATTACCCTTTTGAATTCAAGACAGTGCAGTTTTCCATCAGTCTGCTTCGTAATGACTATAAACAAAGCTCAAAGTCAAACTCTAGGGACCTCTGCTTAAACTCCCATGAGTGCACAGAGGTACGCAGATAACCGCGTGTGATGCTCATAGTAATTTTTGATACAGAACGTACATACGTCATACATATTATAGAAAGAAAACACCCAGACCAGTACAAACAAATATGTTTCTGCAATTTTAGTATGATATTTTTATTTATTAATAAACAAAGAGACTGAACAAAATTGATGCGTGTTCTGATTAATGTTATTAACCACATGCAAAGCTTCGTGAATTGCAATAACTATAATTTATTATCCAAGCTCTAAATAATCGCTACTAAGAGTATATATATCATAAAATGTTTTTCCAATCGCTCAAGCTCCCAAGGGCCTACCGATAAGTCGGGTGACGTAATCTTGAAATTCTTTAAGCCGGCGCAGAACTTCCAGAAGGTCGGGCGACGCCACGGCCACTTTGAACCGTGTTTACTTCTGCAGTTATATTTTATATTTATTCGATTCTAGAATATATTCCCAAAAAGTCTGTAAGGTGTTTTAATTTGTATCACTTGGATATGATTTGTATTAGAAAGTGTTGTGAGTCGACGCTTGAAGGGAAGGAAGTCAACCTAACCTAACCAACTGCGTATTTCTATACTGTGTAGCTGGAAATTGTGGCGGGAGCTCTTTGGCGCGCTGTCTTCGGCGAAGAATTGCGCGCGCAGATTTTGACAGCGCGAAATACTTAATTTAGCAGAAATACCAAGCCTTAACGTCATGATGATGATAATATTCAAATTAAAAATACTAGCTTTAAAAGTTAACTAACAAGAAAATCCATATTCAACACTTCTTGTGTGCATGTTCTCATTAATTCAAGAACACGGTAATTATTAATAACTGTGAAACTTATTATTTTCTTGTTTTCCTTAGATGTAAATGAGTAGATTTGTTGCAATTACTGTTATTATTATTTACATGAACTCTATATGGAAATTCAATTTCTATCTAATAAGCAGAGGTGCATAATTTAATATAAATAATTGTATATTCAACTACTATACAGTAAGACAACCCAGGACCGAGCCGCCTGGAGACGCATGACGCGGAGGGCCGACCCCAAATAAAATGGGAATGGGCCAGGCAAAGAAGAAGTATATTCAACTACTATTACTTAAACTTCACTGGTTGGGTTTTTATTGGCGGTCAAGCTGTAGATCCTGGCTACACAGGAGTTGCAGCGGTGGGAACGAGAGGTGGGAATGGTGGGATAGTTCCTTAGAGAATCTTTAATTCCTCTATGGATAGTCCCGTACTATAACTTAAAATATTATAACACTACTTATGTAGGTACCCTGTACAGTTATAAAGAATCTACACGTTAATTTAGGTACCTAAGGGCTTTAGACCTGTACGAGTATATTTTTTGGAGAAAGATTTTTTAAGTCCTATCCAGAGCCGAATATTATAAAGAATATTCTACTTTTTCTTTATAAAAAAGTATACAATAGCAGCTATTTGCACAGAATAAATACGTGACCTGCTCAACAATGCTCTGTCTACCGAATACGGTCAACTGTACGTCAAACTAACACTGTAGTATCTTAAGTGGTTTTGTTAAAAGCTATTTTGCAACAACTGTACAGCTTAATGCTGCGTATCGGTGAGGTTAATCACTCTTATGTGTCTTATTGGCCATCTCCTATTGTTGAATGTAGGCCGGCGCGCAAGGACGCCTATACAGTTTAAACAGTTGGGTTTACCCCATCAAACTATTCTAAATTTTATTACCACTACTTTGAAGCTTAAAATCCTTTGTTAATAACTTAATCTGGAATCGGAAAATCTCATGTATCTTAGGTTGAAGGTGGTAAAGTTCAGACTCGATTGTTCATGCAAACAAGTCTTTTCAGGTAGGTCGTACAGTTGTGCAAATGCACTAATTGTAAGTAGGTTGGTTGTGACACTGTTCAGGTGGCCATTTTGATTGTTCCTGATAGCAGCTGGTTGAGGAATGTCTGATATTTATCTTTGCTTTGTTCCTGCAGTATTTGCAATACTAGCATCAGATTTTATTAGGTTAATCGGAACGTAACAGTAATGGTAGAGCTATGAGAGCTACCAGTAATAAACAGTCTGTGCTATACTATTCGGAATCAAATGGAACATTGGTTTTTAAGTTAGCCAATGAACTACTAAAATGTACCTAAATATACTTAAAAATCAGCTCGTAACTGTCCCAGTGTATAGGTAACTTTGGTCGTACATCTCAGACATGAATTAATTTCTAAAAACTATCTATCCCAATAATAGTTTGTTTGCTTGAACGCGCTAATCTCAGGAACTACAAGCAGTAAAGAAAAATGTTGCAAAAAAGAGAAATATTATTCAAACAACTTACATATTTTCACGAGTACGAAGTCGCGGGCACAGCTAGTACCAAAATAAACCCATTTTTAGACAATGTGGTAAAATGTATAAATTCTACGTTCCCATTATTTACCTTCTTCAACTTAAAATGTACCCTAACAGAATGCGAAAAGACCAGTCTTACAAATAAAGCTATTCCCAAATCAAGAAAAACTAATTCGTTTTAAAAAACTGCCGACAGCTTCCGATGGGAATTTTATGGAAATACCTTTACATGCTTATTCATACTTCGCACCACCAATATGGCACAAGCAAGTGCTCCTTACAGAAACGTGTCTCTCGCAAAAAGTGAAAGCAGTTGCCACCAAAAAAGAATGGATAAGGTCGACCACCATTACATCATGTGCCACACTTGCTGTGCTGCCTTTAAACGCATAGATGCACCTTAAATCAAGGCATTAAAGTTCATGATTTAAAGCACAGATGCGCGTGAGTTGGTGCATCCATATTCGAGTATTGAGATGCAAGGTTTTTGTAATGCCACTTGATTGTTTGGTGTCCGAGTCAGAGCCAGTTCTTTGGTGACGTACGAGTTTGTAAACACTAGTTTTTGCCCGCAGATTTACCCGTCTGGGTTTCAGTCTGTCACAGAGCCTGTTTTGTCACTAGATGACAAAGTCCCTGAGAGCTTATTGGGAAGTTATCTTTCAGATAAGTAAAGATATAAAACTTTCAGGAAAACAGATGAAATTGACTCTTAACAGAATCTCTCACTTTTGGATCACACAGATTCTTTCAGGTTCTTTTCTATAATATTACCCGTAAAAATATTATTTTGAACGGTAAAGGGGTACTTGCATGTACTCGTACATACAGTCGAATTGAATATCCGTCCGATGGACGAACGACGTGACATTATTCGTGAAATTTAGTGGGTTTCAGCAATGGACAAATTTAGG